CACAAGATCATCATCCATGACACGGTATGTTCGACAACGCAGAGGAGATACTGGAATTTTAGACGGGCAACACATGCGTCAAGACCTGGAGGTACAAAGCAGAAGTTGCTCAAGCGTCTGGAGGAAGGGGGTCCGGGCAGGAAGGCACCCGTGTGTTCAAAGAGCCAGGACACCTGGTGGAAAGGGACCGAGGGAAGCGTGTGCTCCAAGGAACGGTGCCGGGGGGCCTGGGAGCCACCCCAACACACCTGCTGTGGTATGCCTAACAAGGCAGCCCGGCATGCCTCCACCTCCATAACTGCCTTAACCAACAGGGCCGAGGCGAGGCCGCGGGACGTCCAAGGCTGCGTCACAAAAGCACCCTGGATCCTCCACATGAAGAAGCTGGGAAGAGCCTAGCACCGGGAGACATGAGAGTCTTCCTTCCCTGGGAGAAGGCCGGCCCCCAGGAGGGCCCCTCACTGTTACTGTGTTGGCACCTGGGCTCTCGGCCGACCTCAGCGCCCTGGTGACAGCAGGGTCTCCCCCTGGGGTGAACCCCTAGTCAGCAGTAGCCCGCACCGGGCCTGGCAGGGTGTGAACTGGGGCCGTGAACTAGGGCATGGGCCTCGAGGAGCTCCCAGGGAGGGGTGAGGCAGGGGCTGCGGGGGCTGCTGTGAGCTACGCCCTGCCCCACCCACACCCACCAGGCCTGGCTCTGCCCAGGTGAGGCCCCTGCCAGGCAGTCCAGCTCTGCAGCATACCGTCACCTGTGGGCTGACAAAGATCTTCCGTGTTCCCTCAACCCTTTCAACATGGTCCTGCCTTACAGATAAACAAACTGAAGCTTCCAGAAGAGACCCCTCAGGGCCCCCATGGCCAGGCAGTGGTGTGGCTGGGGCTGGGACCTTGGGCCAGACCTCCACTTCCCCTCTGCGACCACGAGCTGCCCGAGGCCACCCAGCCCCTCCCCACAAGGGACAAGGAAGCTCCCGGTGCATCCACAGCGGCCCCTCCAGACTCCACAGTGAGGACTGCCCTTCCTGCTGGAACCGGCTGGCTGCCCTGGTGGGGACAGGCCGCACTGGACCACGCATGGTCTTGGCCGCAGCTGTGAGGACAACAGACAAGCCACCTTCCTGGGGCAGCCTCATTCCCCGGAGAAAGAAGTGAGGGGTCTCCCCCACCCCGCACCTTGGAGCACGAGGCCCTAGATATGTACCTTCTGCTCCTCTGGGAGGTGGGCGCCTCCAGGACAGGGGACTCAGCCGAGCGCTCCAGGGGCAGCTTCCCACAGCCCACTACCTGAGGGTCCCCATTTCTGACAGCCCCACAGGACTAGGAAATGGGCTCAGAGAGGGGACCTGAGGCCAGAAGGGACATGAGAGGCTGCGGCCCAGAGGGCTGGCTCTGCCCAGACTGGCCATGGCCTTGCTGCGCGTGCTCCACTGTGGCAGGCGCAGGATGAGGGTACACAACCTGTGGGAATGGGAAGTGGGGACTGCACCCTGCCGGCCAGACTCCAGGGAGGCAGGGGCGAGGCCACAGAGAAGGAGAGGCTGGTCGGCGGTGCGGGCACAGCTGTGGTGGACGGACAGACCACCGAGGGGCAGCACATAGGCCTGGGGACAGAGCTGCCCACCGCCCAGCCACCTGCCAGCCCACCTGCCAGTGGGGAGCGGCAGCAGCGCCTGGACGCAGCTTAAGTGGGTGCCTCAGCGGTCCTGCTTCTTCCCGCCCACTCCCAGTTAGAGTCTGAGCTCCCAGTGGGACAGAAATGGCCCTTCCCACTTTATAGACAGGGCGCTGCAGGCCAGGAGGCTGCCAGCCATCACCACCCAGCCCCTTGGGGCCCTGGGAGGTGTGGGGTCACCCAGGTCATGGCCCACCTAGGACCAGTGTCAGGTGGTCAGTGTCAGCTGCCTCCAAATCAGAGGCAAGGAGAAGAAGCCCAGAGAGGCCAAGAGCTAGCTTGGTGGAAGGGGGTCATAACTCAAGCCTCCTCTGCTCCCTGTCAGAGGGGCCCATCCTCTGGCTCCTGCAAGCATGCTGTTCACCCTGGCCGGGCCCTCTGGATGCACCTCGCCCAGGAGGAGCCAGGGCTCAGGCCACATGGGTCCCAGCAGTGTGGCCTCCCCATCAGGAAGGGGGTGATGGTGTCCTGAGAGCCTGTGCCTGGGACCAGTGTGCCTGGCCTGGCCTGGCCCCCTTCGCAGGTACATGTCCCACTGGCAGGGGATGTGCAGAGCCCACAGGCCAAGCATGGCCATCCCCGGGGTGGTGAGCAGCTACCAAAGCAGCCAGGCACAGCCCTCCGGGGCCAGGTGTCCCCAGAGCTCCACCTGCACACAGTGCTTTCCCTCTCAACTCTAGTCTTCCCACGGAAACAAAGGAAGAGGCTCTCGTGCTTCGCGGGGCCACCAGCCCAGCGTGCAGGTTATGTGGGAGGCTGTCTGGGGCAGGGGTGTCTCAGGCCAGCCGCACAGCATGGCCGTGCGGCCCCCCTTCCCACACTCCACACGGGCGGGCGGCCTTGATGGGAGCAGGCCAGCACTGCCCCAGGCCCACCCCTAATACTCGGTGCTGAGAAGGGGGAGCTCAGGCCGGGCCCGGGAGGCCGGAAGTCAGGAGGAGCACAGCAGAGTCTGGGCCCGGGGCGGCTGTGCTGACAAGGCTGTCTGGGAGCCGCTCTGGCCGGCTGGGCAGAGCAGGGAGGAGCAGGGCGGAGGGGAGCTGAGCTGGGTGGGGCCCAGGAGGGCCGAAGGGCAGAGTGGGGCTATGTAGGGGAGGGCTGAGCGGGCAGGGCTGAGTGGAGCCGAGCAGGGCTGAGCGGGGAGGAGCTGGACTGAGCTGGACTCCGCAGGACTGGTGGGGTGGAGCTGGACAAGGTGGAGCTGCGTGGGCCGGGGCAGAGCTGAAGGGCAAGGCTGAGTAGGGCGGGACACGTGGAGCTGGGTGGGGCAGAGGCGGGCCGAGCTGGGCAAGGTGGGGCCCGCGCAGGGTGGGGTGGGGCCGAGCAGGGCGGGGCCACCCTGGCCCCAGGGCCAAGCCGAGCTGCGGGGCGGAGCAGAAGCAGCCCAGCAGGATGCAGCAAGGGGTGGAAGGAGAGCGCGTCCGGCTCTGTGAGCCCGAGGTTCAGGCCCAGGCGCCCCAAGTGGGGGCCGGCACTGCATCTGTGGGGCTCCAGGCGCCCATTGCACCCCTGGACAGTCACACTGCCAGAAAGTGGGCCCGGGGCTGGGCAGGCAGAGACCCACCTGTCCAGTGAGCTGACGACCCTGCAGGCCACGAGCAACTCCGCCGGGGGAGCCCCGGCTGTCACCGGCCGCAGGAGGGCAGCGCAGACAGGGGTGCAGGCCCCAGGCCTCTATCGCCATGGTGGGGGCGCTAGCCCGTCGTACAGTTCATTCAACTAACGTCAGGCCAGCTACGCAGGGCCCTGGGGATTGGGCCCGACACCTGATGGGGGGCCCTGGAACTGGTGGACAGACACTAACAGGCTAGCCGCCAGAGGTTGGGAGGGACAAAGGGGCAAATGTGGGGGGCAGACTGGGGGTGGCAAGAAGCCTGCTCCGTTCCACAGGGAAACCGCAGGTGGCGGCCGCGTGTGAGCCACCCACGCATGTCCTGAGACTGCTGCCCACACCTGCCCACACCACTGTCCACTGTCCCCTGTAGCTCTGGGCAGCCCCCGAGCACCCTGAGCAGCTGGGCTGTGGGCCGGCCCTATGGGGGCCTGGGGCAGTCCACCTGTCCCCAGGACTCCAGCCTCTGCCCCCCCCCACTATTCACACTGAGCGGCTCCGTCACCGGGACCAGCTGCACAACTGGGGACAGACCCACGGGCAAGCCCGACCGCGGGTCCACATCACCCTCATGCTGCACATGAGGACATAAGCTCCCCATGAGGCTGGCCACAGTGGTCCCCGGCTGACCCCCACTAGGCTCCGAGGGCCGCAGAATAGACTGGCTGAATTCAGGCGGGTCCCACACTACCCCAGGTCCTAGATGGGCCAGGGCCCCGGGCCCCCACTCTCAGCTGACAGGGCCAGTCACCCCTGGTAAAGCCCACCCTCTGCCTAGTCACCACACAGAGAACCAGAGCAGGGCCCAGGCCTGGACTGCCCGCTGTGGGAGGAACCGCACTCACACGAGGGACTCCTCGGAACCCCATCCTGCAGCTTCGCCTTCAGAGGTGGGCCCCCACCTGGTGCCAAGACAAGGCCCCATCCTCGAGCACAGCACCCCCACCGCCTGGCTTCCCAACCTCTGCCCTTCTCCCCACCGCCCACACGCGGTGTGCCAGAGGGGCTGCTGGGCCCTTCCTACAGGGACCTCAGTTCTTGAGCCAAAGAGGAGGCAGATCTCCCTGCTTCTCGGGACCCCAGCACCCCATGTCTTCAGGGGCAACCATGCTTGGATCCCTTTCTCAGGTTTTGGTGGATAGCTAGTCTTGCTGTAACAGAGAGGGCCGTGGGTGTGTGTGTGTTCCTTCTCTGGATGTCCCAGCAGAGGGGAGCAGCCCATCACCTTCCCCTTCAAGGAGCAGGACAGTGTGAAGGGGCGGGGGCTTCTCAGAGGCAGTGGCTGAAGTGGGGAGGGGGCCCCAGAAGTAAGGCTGAACCCCGCCTCCCTGGCAGGGCATCCACCTCCTTCCAGGGTGGGACAGCAAACATGGCAACAAGTCCTGCACCGGTGACTCAGTTTACCAACTTGCCCAGGTTCCCGTTTTTCTAGAACAAGCTGCTTTCAGAAGACATGTGTCCAGAAACCCAACCCCTGGAAGCAGCTCCAACTTCCCGGGCAGATGAGGAGACAGAGGCCCAGGGGGGAAGAGAATGCGCCCACAGGTACACGTGGCGGCTCGCGGGGGCTCACGGAGGCTCAGGGCCCACTGTTGGCAGAGCCAGCGTCCCGCTGCATTCTCAATGCACTTCCAGTACCCAGGGACGAGAGGCCAGTGGTGCCGTCACTCGCACAATCACACCCACACACACACACTCACCAGGCCAGGTCCTCACCTCAATCTGCAGGATGGCCTCCTCACGCAGCCGGATGGCCTCCAGGTCTTCCTCCGTGATCTCCGGAAGCAGCGCCTGCTCCTGGCCCTGCCACATGCTGTCACCCCCATTAAAGATCTTTTCATCATCAGGCAGCTCAGCAAAAGGGGCCCGGGGACTCTGCTGACAACAGACACAGACCAGTTAGCGCAGGTGCGCTCAGTTGCCACCCGGCCCAGGCCACCGCTGCTCCCCGGGCTCGCGGCAGGCAGCTCCCCGTCGGGGCTAAGCCTCGGCTCTGGGCACCAGGGGCCTCCAGGGGTCTGTAGGCCCCGCAGCCCGTGATCTTGGAGAGGAGAGGAACCAGAGCCCAGGTTCTGCAGCCCCAACGGGGGCTGCGGCCATGAGGCCTCTGGCCAGCCGCGTGGGGCTGCTGCAGGGATCAGGGTCTGGCAGACACCCTGAGCCCACCTCGGGCCATCCCAGGCCTGGCTTCAGGGCACACTCGGCAGCCCCCCACCCCCACAGCCCTGCTGGAGCGTGGACTCCTCGCATTCCCAGTTCTTGGTGATAACCCAAGAAATGGTCCTGCGCGTGTGGACATAAACTGGAGCTTCTCACAGGCCTGTGAGCCACTGGAAGTCCATTCTGGGGGCGGCCACAGGTCACAGTCGGGGTCTAGCCGCCAGGCAGGGGCTGCAGAAACGGAGGCGTGGCCTCCTAGACAGCAGGGCGCACACACCACCAGGGGCGGCGGGTCCTGCACACGCCCTCGTGGAAACTGGGCCCCAGGAAACGGGAGCCAAGAGGGCTTTTTATGTCATTTCAGCCTGTATTTAACGCTTTTAATTTACCAAATTTTGGAATTCAATAAAATGCGGCTTTTCCCTTCAATTAATGATGTGCTCACTGATGGGACTCTGAGTACAAGTGAGCAGACGTGCAGGAGTGCCTGTGGGGAGCTGTCTCCACCCTGCACACCCCCAGGGGTGAGGGAGTGCAGGAGGTGGGAATGGGTCCCACTGTGGAGCCCTGGCTTCACACGGAAAACGTGCAACAGGGAAGATGACGATGTGCCCGCCTCAGCCCCTCCCCTGCCACCCCCCCCACCCCGCCAGAAAGCCAGGCCCTGGCTCAAAGCCCGCTCCCCACCCTCCCACCCCCAGGTCAGCCAAGCTGCGCTTCACGTCAGGGCTGGGGTGTTGGGGGGTGCGTACGTACACGTGTGTACACGTGTGAGTGTGTATGTGTGTGTAAGAGAAGGGACTCAAAGGGCCACTGGAGGATGGGCAGAGCCACCTGGTGACCCCCTGCTCCTCACGTCCCAGTATGTCAAAGCTCCTTCCAGCCAGCTATCTCCAACAACCCCGAACACCCTGCAAAGGAGCGCTGCGCCCATTTTACCAATGAGGACGCTGAGGCCAAGACGCCAAGGAATCCAGAACAGGCAGGATGTGAAGCTGGGACTCCAGGCTCCAGTTCGGACACAGAGGAGCTCCAGGGCGAGAAGCGAAGAGATCACATGCCCGAGACCAGGGCTGAGGGAGTGGCCAGCCTGAGCCCCTGGCTGGAGCAGCTTCCTCCCCAGCTGACTCCGTCCCCCAAGCTGCACCGGGGCGTCCTCGGCTCCTCTCCTGCCCTCAGTCCGGCCCCAGGTGCTGACTCTGACCACAGCACCCTCCTCCTGCCCAGAGGTCGCGCCAGCATGGGGACAGACGGCAGGGTGCAGCCCTGGTGACCCCCAGTCACCCAATGCTCAAACACTGGTCGAACCCCCTCGAGTGTCTGGGCAACGGGCCGGGACTGAAATGAAGGGCTGGCCATCCCTCACGGGACCTCCCTCCACAGGCTCCACGTGTCCAGCACACTCCACCTGGGCAGCCCGGAAGGAGGCTTCGGAGGCTACCACCTGCCTCTTCTCTCCTTTCCCTTCGTGACAAGCCCACCTTCCCACCCTCCTGTGCCACTTGGGGCCACAGGGCAGGGTGCTGGCCATGCCACGGCCCAGCATGGCCCCCACGGGCAGCCTTCAGAGGGCCTCAGCTGCAGGGAGAGCACCACCTTTCCCGCACACTCTCCAGGCCCGTGCTGGCCCGCCCTGTGCCAGGCCCGGGGGGTACAGTGGACAGACGGCAAGAGCCCTGTGTCCCGACAGACTTGGCTAGACACAGAAACCAACAAGTCACCCAAACAACAATTTCAGCAGTTTTGACAAAGGCCTGCAGAAGGCCCTGGTGGCCACAGGACGGCCACCACTGGGAGCCACGCAAGGACAAGGTGGGAGGCCAGGTGCTCTTTCTCTGCAGCGTGGCTCACGACCTGTAAGGTGGGTACGATCACGCTCAGGTAAAGAGGTCGACGGTGCGGGTCCTCCAGGGGGAGGGGGAGGCCCCCCCTAACCCAGTTCTCCTCCAAAGCCGACATTCTGCCCCCACACCACGCTACTGCGGGAGGAAGCTCTTCCCCCATTCCCCCAGAGTCAGCAGAGGCCTTTACAGAAATAAAGACGTGGATACATGAACATAAAATAAAAGATCTAAAAAATCTGTTAACAAGCGCTACTGGTCCAAGGTGGCAATTACCACCTCCCCTTCCCGGCGTGGGCGGGAGGAAGTGAGCGGTGCTGGAGGGTGGCAGCGGGAGGGGCTGCCACGGAGCGAGCACAGCTTCTGGCCCAGTACTGCACTCTCTGGGCCTCAGTTTCTTCATCTGCAGAATGGAACAAGGGCCCCACATCCCCAGGTGCTCACCACACAGCTGCGCCACTGGTCTGACCTGTCTTGCGTCCCTTTCAGGCGCTGCCGGGCACCCTAGCTCCCACCAAAAGGGACCGAGCAAGGGTCTCTTTGCTAAGCACTCACACCTCGGCCCAGACGCAAGGCCCAGGGCCCAACCCTCGCTGGCTGCCAGCCCAGCAAGTTCCCTGGCTTCCCCCAGCCCTGTCCACCCTCGGTATGGCGCTGACACCACCGCCCCAGAGTCCGAGAAGGGAGCGAGCAGAATGAAACACCTCACTGAATCAGCAGGTGCACATGAAGATGACATGCCGGTGGAAGGAGGAGAGCCGTGAGGGACCGTGCTGCCCCTGGTGCAGGCGCCCGCCCCCAGGGGCCCGTCCCACGCCAGGCCACACAGCCAATGGCTCCACTGGGGACACTGCCTGGGCATGACGCTCGGGAAGCTTCCCGGGTATACCTGACAATCCCCAAGGGCCCCTTGTCTGTGCACCCGGGGACAGAAACGCAGGAAGGCTCACTGCAAGCACATGCCCTGGGAGAAGGACCTGGAAAAACCACCATGACGCCTACAGACCAACAGGCAGAAGCACTCAGACACGGGGTGACAGATGTGCCCAGGACACTACACATAACCTTCCCTGGACTCTGGGGCCCATGGAACCAGCCCGACAGCTGGGAGCAAAAGGAGCCTGCACGTCCTCACCTGCACAGGTACTGCCAGCCCGCACCCCCACCCCCAGGAGCTCGCGACAAGCTAGGGCAGCAAGACATGGCTTGGACACCTGATCTCCTGAAAGGATCAGAAAGCGCCCCTTTATTCTCCTCACAAAGGCCCAATTTGGGAATTAGGATTTGCTGGCAAGGCGCTGGGGCCGGTGCAGAGGGGACAGCCGTGTGATGGTTCTCCAGCACAAGAGGCAGCCAACAAAGACGGCTTTCTCCTCCCTCCAAGGCCCATGGTTTGGGTCCCACTCTGTACGGAAGAAACCCACAAACCAACGTGACTGCTGGACCGTGGGGCTGAGAGCAGTTTCCCGTGAGAAGAGCCAAGGCGGGGAGGATGCGCAGCAGGCTCCCTGGGTTCTCAGGGGCTCTGGGAAATAGGCCACTTTCTCGCGCACTCCGACCCTGGGCTCCGCGCAGGAACGTCCATGATCCTGGTGGGAGGGCAGGGGTCAGGGCGCGAGCCAGTCATGGGCTTGGGAAAACTGCTTCTGTTTAGCAGCCCGAGGCTGGTCATCAATTTCTCCAAATAATAAATGACTCTGTTTGTTAGCTGATGGAAGTTTCTGGAGACTCGTCAAAGCCCAGAACGTCAGAAGTGGCATGACGAGAGCAATCTGTCCCCCGACACCCACATGAAATAATAGTACTGGGGCCCAGAGGCCAGGGGCACCCCCGCCCTGTGCCTGGCGGGGAAGTACGACGGGATTCCCAGCGAACACAGGAAGATGAAGCATATCTTTCCCGCCGTGGCCGCAAACACACGGAGCTCTGGCAGAAACCTACGCTGAGCCTGCCGATGGCAGCGCACTCCGCGGGCTGTCCCCAGTGAGGGGCAGAAACCAGCCCAGACACACCCGGCGCTGCCCCCTGGCTAGGCCTGATCGGGTCTGAGACTGACCGTGGACCTGGCCCGGAGGGCCGACCTGCTCATGGCCATGGCCGGCACTCGGCTCCGATGGGAGAAGGTGGTGGGTGGGCGCCCCCACCACCCGCCAGGACTGCCAGCCTGCAGACAGCATCCCCGGAGTCTGCGAGATCAGTGTCACAGCCACCCCTGTGTTGAACAGGGTGATACGTCATCTCGCTGTTCAGTTTGCAGAATTCCTGGAAATACTCTCATCTTCCATAATTTCTCAGAAACACTGCTGACCATTCTCTTCCTTCTTAAAAAAATGTGGCTGAAACACAACACATCTTCGGTCCAGAAATCAGAAGTGCACAGGTCTGAATTCTTACCAAGAAAAGACTTCAGGCAGGACACGGAACATCACCAGGACCCCAGACGTGCCCCTGCAGCCCCCCAGCCATCATGCTGCCCCCAACCAAGGGAAACAACCGTCTGGCTTCTAACCCTGCCCATTACTTTGGCCAGGGTTTGCCCTCCCCCCTCTCTGGTTTCAGGCCTCTTTGGCTCAACACTCTGTCCGAGATCACAGGGTGGGCCTTGCCGGCAACAGCTGGCTCTCTGGAGCTGCAGGCCCCGTGTGGGAATCCAGCACAAATGATCCAGCGGCCGCACCGCAGGCTGGCTCTCTTCCCAGCGCCTGCTACCTCCTGTCAGCCGCCATGAGCGTTCTCCTGCGCAACTCTGGGTGAACGCACATGTGCACCCCCACCAGCCGTGCACTTGGGGAGGGACTGCAAGGTCACAGGAAAGAGAACGCATGAATCCAGGAAGTGTTTCAGGGTCCAGAGGATGGCGTCTGCCAGCTCCCATTGGCACAGGCTTCCGGCTGCCCCACAGCCTCCCAGCACTCTCGAGGCTGACTGAGCTGAGTACTCCGGTGGGTGCAAGGGGGCGGGCAGTGACTGAGCCCCAAGGGCTCCTTTCGCCTGCTTCGGATGACGCCTGCTGAGCACACGTTCGTGCACTTGCCGGCCATGTGGATGTCCCCTTTTGTGACGTGCCTAAGGCTTTTGCTCTTTCATGGTTTTGAAATGAGTTGTCTGCCTCTTATTGATTTCTTAGAGATCGTCACATATTACGGACATCAGTCCTTTCCAGACATGCATACGTGAACACCTTCTTTCACACTCTAGGTTCCCTTTGCACTCGCTTAAGGGTGTGTTAATTTAAGGACGTCAAGCTGATCTGCTTTATACTTGGTACGTTTTCATCTGTGTAAGAAACGTCTGCTCACCATAAAGATGGGAAGACAGACTCCTATGGTATCTTCTAGAAGCTTCATTGTCTTACCTTTCACATGTAGGTCCATGTTCCAGCCGAAGTGCTTCTTGCACGTGGGGGGAGGGTTGCGGTAAAGGGTCTGCTGGCCATGGCAGTCTCGTGCATGCGCCCTCCTGGCCCCTCTCAGCCACATAAGAACGGACCACGGCCTGGAGCACTTTCTCACCAAGAGACAGAGCCTTCACAGCTGTGCCAGGCTTGCTGGCTCGTAAGACAACGTCTTTCCCTGTTTCAGACTCGATGCAGACTTCCTTGTTCGGCGAAAGCACGTGCATCCCATGGCACCTGGCCAAGCCCACTGCTGTGTCTGTCCCCTGCGCAGAGGGGACAGGGTCCTTCTGCTGTAGTACGGGGGAGGCGTGCAAGCCTGGGACCTGCTGGCCACAGGGGACCATGCCCACCACGGGAGCAGATCTTGCTGGCTCTTCTCTTCACAGGGACTGAATGCACTGTTTCCCTGGTGACTCCAACACCGAGATGCAAGGCTAGGGGTGTCTGGACTTGGACCTGTCATTTGCTCAACAGGATCCTTTTTCCCAGCTCAAATCCTGGCCAACCCAGCATCAAGCCCTGAATAGACCCTCCATTCCCTAGTGCACGGCAGCACCCTTGCTCAAACAGCTGTTCGAAGGCTTCTTCCTAGTCCCGATGCCATTCCAAATGGTGTCACTTTCTAAGTTTCATTTGCACACTGTCTTCTGCTAGCACACAGTGCTTCCCTGTATACTGACCCTGTTACCACCGCTTATTAGCTCTAAGTTCACTGCAGACTCATCCACATCTTCCAGTAATGCAGTTACACGGTCTCTGATGGGGCTTCTTCCTCCCCAGGTCTCCATACGCCTCTCACTTCTGTGTCATGTCTCAGGGCACTGGACACGCCCTCCAGGGCAGTGGGGCAGAGAATAGTCCTAGACCCGAGTCTCGTCCTCGGTCTCAGGAGGGAAGCTTTTAATGTCTCAGCAGTAAGGGTGGTGATAACTATAGGGCTTCTGAAGACACCCACCCTCAGGTTAAAGGCATTCGTATCCACCAGCCTGCTGAGAGTTCTGCTCCCCACCCTCGGTGGTGCTCTTCTCTCCCTACTGGGATGATCCAGCAGATTCTCTTACTTTATGAACATGGCGGCTTACATGGATTATTTCCAAATGTAAACCAACTCCATACCCCCAGAATAAGCCCCACTTTATAATGATGTATTACCCTTTTATATATTGCTAGATCTAGCCTTTTAGTGATTTGGTTAGGGTTTTTGCCCCTATGCTCATGAGAGAACATGTTAGTTTCCTTTTTGTGACACCCTCATAAGAACTTGGAATGACGGTTTGCTGGCCTCGTAAAGCAAGGTGATATGTGTTCCCTCTTTTTGTGTTTTATTTAAGAGTTTGTATAAACTAGTAATATTTATTCCTCAAATATCTGGAAGAATTCACCAATAAAATCATCTAGGTCTAGAGTTTTTTTGGTGGCATTTTAACAATGGAAATTATTTAATTATTGATTTCATTTCTGTAATAAATACTGGGCTTTCCAGACTTTCTGTATGTCTTGGTAACTTACATTTTTTTCTAAAAAAAAAAAAAATTTTTCTATTTTACCTGTCAAATTTATTGATGTAAAGTTGTACCATAGTATCTTCAAACTTCTATTTTTCTTAGTGTGTAGTATCCATGATATAGTCATTGTCATTCCCAATACTAGTAATTTGTTCTCTATGTATCGTGACTAATCATGTGGGATTTATTATTAATCTTTCTAAAAAATTTTTTGGCTTTGTTGGATTTGCCCAATATGTATCTACTTTATATTTCATTGATTTCTGCTTTTTCTTATCTATTTTCTTAGAATTTAATTTGGTGTTGCTTTTTCAGCTTCATGAGATTGAGAATGAGCTCCGTGATTTTCACACTTTCTTCTTTCTGAAGGAAGCATTCGGAGCGCTGCTTCAGCCGCATCCCAAGTTTGGATTTGTTGCATTCTCTCCGTTGTTCACTTCACGATGGTTTCCAATTCCCACTGTGCTTTCTTCTCTGATTTATGGGTTCCTTCAAATTGTATTATTTTCATTCCCAAGCCTGGAAATTGCCTTTTTGGTATCAAATGTGAGTTTAATTGCACTGATCCAAAAACGTACTTCAGGTCGCGTCATCCCTCTGGAACCTGTGGAGACTGGCTGGAGAGTCCAGCACATGCTGCACACCGGCAGGAACACACGCTCTCCCGCGGCGGGTTACCGTGTCACGAGCGACCATTTGGCAAGACCATGTTCATTAATCGCACTGACAGAGTCTCTCAGATCCTCAACGAACTTTCCTGTTTCCTTCATTAGTCATCTCGACAGGTGTGTTACAATCTCCACCTGTGACTGTGGATTTACCATTTTTCCTTTTATCACTGGCGGTTTTGTCCTGCGTATTGTGAGGCTATGTTATCAGGCATGGAGGCAAAACCGCATCTTGTATGTGAATCACCATGCTGTCCTGTGAGGCAGGGATGCCTCTGGGCGCGGACTCGCTCACGCTGACACAGGCACGGGGCGCCGGTCTTCCTTTGCGCTGTGGCTTCCCAGGTATCTCTGTCCATCCTCTAACTCTCAATATGTTTCTGGATTTATAGTTAACCAAGTCTGACAATCTGGGCCTCTTCATCGGAGGGGTCAGGTCGTTCTGATGGAGTTATAAACAAACCTGGTATAAATCTACCATCTTACAACTTGTTTCCTGTTTTCCTTCCTGTTTTATTTTTCCTTTTTTTTTTTTTTTTGGCTTTCTTTTAAATTAGTCAGGTATGTTTTATTATTTCCTGTTTCTATTAACTTACTGTATAACTGATATTCTCGTGTTGTCCGTCAGTGTCCCCTGCGTAAGGGGGGACGCACTGGCTCACCACAAGTTGCCGTAGGCCACAGCTCCTGTCGCTTTTTGGAGGCCGGAGACACTCAGCGTCCATGCAGCTCATCCCTACTCCTGTGCTGCCCGCCGGCCAGGCTCCTGGGAGTTGCTCCACATCCAAGCCCCGCAGGGAAGGAGCGTTGTTCAACAGCCAACGTTAGCTCTGATGTGTCCATACATCAGTGCTTCCAGGACATGCGGCCCCTCCCGCTGGTGCCCGTCTGCCTGGGACCACTTCCCTCTGGTCCTGTCAGAGTTCTGTCGATGGCAAGTTCCCTCCGTTTATGCTTCTCCAAAAATGTTTTCATTCTACCCTCATTTCTGAAAAATATTTTCAGCAGGCATGGAATTCCACATGAGCAACCACTTTCTCTCAGCACTTTAAAGATGGCTCCGCGTTGTCGTCCAGCTTCCACGGACCCACCTCAGGCGTCAAGCGTTAAGTCTTGTTGCTCCTTGAAAAATGACGTGACTTCTCTTCTTGGGCTTTAATCTTTTAGGATTTTTTTGTCTTTGGTTTTCAAAATTTTATTATGAGTACAGGTAAGTTTATCCTGTTTATCACAGGGGGGTTCTTTAAGCTGTGGCTTGAAATATTTGGACAGCCTTGGAAAATCTCAGCCATTACACCGTCAAACGCTGTTTCTGTCCACTCTCTCCCCTGTTCATCCAGGACTCCAGGCGTACTCGCACCTCTCATTTCTATCAGTTTCTGCTCCCCGGAGGGCTGGTCGGGTCCAAGTCAGTCCCGCGCAGCACGCGGAACTGTCTGCACTCAGGACTCCGTCTCCGGCCCATGCCAGGGAACTAAGGTCAAAATGCTTTTTTTTTATTTTTAAAAAGTTTTTAATGTTTTTAAAAAGGTTCTTTGCCAAGTCAGACCCCCTTAGATGGGGCCTCTGCCCAGTGCTTCCCACTTCTCCCCAAACACAAAGGGCACTGGACACTGGGCCGTCACCTAATGCCCACGGACCACAGGAATCACTCGGCACCCACCTGATGTTTGCCACCCCGCTGTGCCATGGGAAGCAGGGCTCTGGACTTCTCTGCAATTTTCTGTTAAAGAATGGAGGGCAGGAAGAACAGAAAAGGTGGGGAAGAGAAAAGAAACGGTCAGATAAGCACAAGGTAGTGGACAAGGCCTGACAGCAGAGCCCACCTTCAGCTCCGTGACAGGACGCAGCTATCCTGGGCCTCGGGAAAGCTGGGTGCTGGGCCAGGTGCCAGGCTGGGCTCTGCCAACAATCTGGTGGATGGCTCCCTCCCCCACATGTAAGCCCTGGGTCTCAGTGTCCTCACCTGTCAGAACAGGAATGCCCGTTCTTCCCACCTGCCAGATGCCTCCTGGGCAACACCCGCAGGTAAACATCCCTCACTGCACACACTGAGGTCACGGCTCCTGGCAACTGTCGGCCGTCTACAGACCTGGCCCCTCCTCTGCTCTAGGGCACGGGACCCCACCAGGCCAACCGAGGGACAAGACTGCCAGAGGGGGAGCTGCAGGGCCGAGGCCCACCCCACCCGGCCCGCCCGGTCTCCCTGGGGAGCCTCACCTTCTGCACCACGCCGTAGCGCTGAATGGCATCGGAGAGCTGAGTTTTCAGGCGGTCCAGCTGAACACACTCCTGCTGCAAAGGGAAAATGTGGGTTATAAGGACAGCTGAGGCCTTGTCCTGCCCGCGGCCTCCTCCATCCCTGGGCGCTGCAGTTCCCCATGATCGCCTCCCCCATCCGCGGCCTCGTGCTGCCACCACCGCGCTGCTGCTGGACTGGGCTCATCCCCGTCTACTGTGCCCCAGCCATCACACGCCAGCACCCCTGCAGATGCCATCCCGCATCTTCAGCCCTGGCCGCGGAGCAAGGCGCTGCTCCACCACGATGCATCTGTCTGGTCCCCACGACGAGAAGTGTTACTTCTACCTGACGGCTCAGGAGGCCTGAGCCTGAGTTCTAAGTGGGTTCACGGCCGCACAGGGGTGGAGACAGGCCATGAAGCCTGGCCGCTGACTCCAGGGACCTGCGGCTAATCACACGCCAGGCTGGGTCTCACCCCCAGGGTCAGAACTGCACTCATCAAACCTCCCTCCCACTGTCAGGCGCTTGGCAGCACACGGCCTCCATCCTTCACGTCTTGTTCGCCAACACCAGTGCCCCAGATGATGCCTGGCACAGAGCCAGCGCTCAAGACATACTGCCGAGCAAGGGGACAGACAAGCAAGCCCCGAAAGCCGGCACTGCCTGCTCGGGTTTGCGTGAGCACCGCCAGGCTGCCAGAACCCGACCCTCACGTCTCTCCACGCCGCACCGGCACAAAGCCACACCAGTGCCCTGTGCCCTTGCATCAGAAGCACGACGTGGACTCCTGGCCCCTCCTGCCCCCATCATCTCCCAGGAGAGGCAGACCCTGCATCTCAAGTTATAGAGTGTGCACCCCTGCCGGGAGGCTTCTCTCTACCTCCAACTGGAACTCAGCCCCAAGCTTGGTGCCCGCCCCTCTGCCGCACTGCCGCCATGCAGCTCATGTGAGCCCCTGCAGGAGAGCAGGCCGGCCACAGTTCAGGGGCACTTTTCAGAGGGACTCAGTGTAGTCCCCGTGTGACTGCGGGTCTGAGTTAGTGTCCGGGGGAGGCTCTTGTGAGGGGCATTCTATGTGTGTCCCGGGACAGAGCCGAGAGCCCAGGGACTCTTCAGTGCTCTCCGGGCTGGGTGATCCAGCATCAGCCCCATGTGACGGGCACAGCCTTTTCTCCGAAGGAGCAGGGAGCAATTCTAGTGCCTCCCAGCCAGGCTGTCCGACCACCGCCAAGAGCCTCATCGGTGTCCTTCTGTCAGCGTCTCACACACAGTAGGTGTTCAATCAGGTGTGCTGGGTTCTTAGATGGGTGGATGGACGGACAGACCGGTGGCTACGTGAGTGGGTAGACAAATGGAAGGACACATTAGGCTAAAGGCGATCCCTCCACCCCCCAAGGAACTCAAGCTCGGAGTCTCAGCCCTCGTGGTGCACACAGTGACCACATGGACTGTGGACCCAGAAACACCACAGTGGCAATCTAGCCGAGACTCCTCCCTGGCTGAGATGCTTCGTGCAGGACACTCTCCAGGCCTCAGCGTCCCTCCAGATAAAGGGGCCGAGGACAGCAACAGGCAGGACGGCCAGACGCCCCCAACGTGAGCAACACGCACAGGGCCACACGGCACGCGGTGTCTGCACCGGCCTCTCGCTCGGCGGACCGCTGTGGTCATCGGGTGGCGGCAGTGTCAGCTTCCCGGGCCTGTCACGGGAACCCTCCACACCACGGTCCAGCCTCTGTCTGCAGAGGCCACACTCCCGCATCCCGGGCCGGGCAGGCACCCAGGTCTGCCGACGAGGTGGGCAGGCGCCCTGGGCAGCATGTGATGAGCGAGGAACAGCTACAGCTTTACTCATGAACACGGCCCCTGTCCCAGGACCACCGAGAGTTTGAGAGTAATTAAGGCTTTGTGACACATGCCCCCAGCCTTTGGGAATGGGAGAGGGCGTGGATAACAAAGATGGGGATGTGCTGACCTAGTAAAAGGGGGTGAAGGGAAGTAAGCGGCCAGGGGTGAAGGTGATGGGGGAGGGACTGCATGGGGGGGGCTGCATGGGGGAGGGGCACAAGGTGATGTGAGGAGGGTCAGGGCTGTGAAGGGGGCTGTGGCTCCAAGGATGGTGGCAATTGTGACCACATCATTACGCGTGTGCTCTGATGATGAGCACTGGCGTGGGTGAGGACGCGGTGGTGAGGGGTGTCAGGGTGGGTGATGGGAGGTGGCGGCGGGGGCGGGGTGTCACGCGTCTCTGTCCAGACAATCGGGCTGGGACTCGGGGCCTCCAGAGCAGCGCGGGGCATACAGCAGGTGCCCAGCGAGCACATCGAGCTCCGGCCCAGGTGGCGCACCGGCCCAAGCCCAGGCCAGCGCAGGCATCCCGGGCCCACCAACCTCCCCAGGGGCCCCCCAGCCCCAGGCCTTGCCCCCCCGCCTCCAGGGCCACATACCCGGGAGCAGCCCCGCAGGAGCGCCGACATCTGCCTCAGGGCACCGGTGCTGACCGCGATGGTCTTGTTGGTCTCCTGCTGCGCCGTGTGCCTGCAGCGGCCGGGGAAGAGAGGACGGGCAGGGGACAGCGGGAGGGGAAGGCCCCGAGAGCGGCCGGGGCGGCAGAAAGGTGACCAGGCAAGAGCAGGAGTAGGGGTCAAGGGTCGCAGTGGCAGAAGAGTCAACAGGAGTGGGAGAACCAGCAGGAAGACCAGAGGCAGAGGCACAATAGAGCAGCCATGGGAGGGGACGAGGGTCAGAGGCCCAGAGAGACGGACAGACACACCCACAGACGGAGAAGGCAGGGACGGGGCGAGGGAGGAGGGAGAGGACAGGGGTGAGCTTGGACTGGGGTGGACGGCCTGCAGCGCACATCACACCCGAGCTGCCACGGTCAGGAGCCCCCCCCCCACATGGCCGCTGCACGCCCCACACACCAGCTGTGTCTGGGCCCACCAGTCCGGGGGTCAGTGAGGCTGGGAATCTGGGGGAGCAGGGTGGCCACAGACACCCCTGGCACCACAGCCTCTGTGGGCTGGGATGACTCTCCCACCTCCAGGCCCGAGAACACGGGGCCGGGCCCAGGATTGTGGTTTGTGGTTCGTGGTTCTGAGTGTGACCTCGAAGGGACTGAAAAGACCAGCTCCTCACCCGCTTCGGGGTGACCATGGCCCCCCTAGACAGAGCAACACCGGGGGCAGACCCTGCCCTCGGGCCTTGTGTGGGCGCATGCACCAGAGAAGAGCCCTCCTGACCCTTTGAGTTGCAGCCTGATGCCCCCTTTGCTCCCTGCAAGAGCCCGCGTGGCAGGGGTGGGGGCACCATCTGACCTGCGCCTGGGTCCCTGACACCTGCCCTTAGGCCCCACAGACGGTGCAGCATAGAGCCGGCGGGCGGGGGGGGGATGGGAAGGAGCCCCCAGGCCAGCCTGGGAGGGTGTCATCTGAGGGCCGCAGCGTGAGCACCCTTTCCACCAGGCCACCAACAAATTACGGGAAACCGCAGATTACAGATTCCCCTCAGATTCACTCAATCGTTGCGCACCACTGAGCCCCCTGCTCTCCTTACCGCACCTCCTCCCGTGGTCCCCACCCCACGTTCCCTCCCACCGCATGGCCCACAGTTTGCCCTCCTGGCACCCCCCGCCCCAGCCTGGGGCCATGCCGCTCAAGGGGTTTTGCTGGCTCCTCTCCTCCCTGACCTCTTGTGTCTGCACCTGGAGCGCAGACCCTGGACCACCCCTCGGCTCCCCGGGCTCTCCTCCTGGGTGCTCTCCTCTAGCCTCGTGGCCGTCAGTCACCTGTGTGCCGCCGTCCCCCACACCCATCCACACCTGGGCCTGAACTCAGGCCTGGCCCCACCGACAGTCCACTGGGCACCTGCCCCTGGACGCCCGGTGGCATCTCCACCTCCACATGCCCAAACCACCCTCCCCTCGGCGGGCTCGCCCACGGCGACTCTGTCCCTCTGGGCCCTCCAGCCAAAGCCCCAGGGCCACCCTTCCCAAAGCCGCTCTGCTCTCATTCTTGAGAGCAGTGCAAGCCTCAGGCACTGACCCAGACTCGGGCCGCCTCTCGCCCACTGCCCCCACGTGCCCCCTCGTGCCCGGCACGGCACCTCACCAGCAGCCCGCAGCGGGCACGTCCCGTCCGAGCAGTCCGGCCTCGCCCTCCAGACCCCGGAGCTGAGGCATGGCCGCGCATGTCCGTGGAAGCACAGTCCCCGCTCCTGGCACCGTGTCCCCCTGTTCTGCACCCCTACCACCTCTGCAGCCACCCTGATGGGCAACGGGTACAGGCAGCCGTGCCCAGGGCTTGTGACCAGCAGCAGCCGCCCGGACAGAGGACACTGGACGGACGGGAGCAGTGGGACAAGTGCCTCCGGCTCATGGAGGCCGCCGCCTCTGGGGGGCAGGTCGCCCCCCCCGTCCCTGCTCCCCCCGCCCCTCCACTCCTGCCCTGACGTCACAAAGCGCTCGCACTCCCGCCCCGCTGTGCCCCCGCTAGAACACAGAAGCAGCACTGAGACAGTCCCTTCCGCTGCACCGTCTGTGGGGCCTAAGGGCAGGTGTCAGGGACCCAGTCTAACACCTTGTTAAGGGTCCCTGCTACTGCGTTTACAGGGACGCGCAGTACGTCTTCTTCCAGAGTCTTGGCTCAGGTGTTGGTGCCAGCACCGCGCTGGGAAAGGCGAGCGCTCTGCATTCTGGGGTGTGTGTGGTGCAACTACGACCTCTGATCCTGGGTGTTTGCGGGAATGTTTTTAAGGACACACGTAAATCCTCCGATAGAGAGCTATTTAGGTTTTCCCTTCCTTCTTGAGTCAGTTTTGAGAATTTGTATCTTTTGAGAAATTTTTCTGGTTCATCTTCGTTATGAAGTATCAGTTTATTGTCGTAATAGAGTCACAATATTTCCTAATCGGCCTTTTCGTGTTGGATCTGGAGTCCTGGTCTCTCTCTTATTCTTTTTTGTTTCTGTTACTGGTTCATGCTTTATGAATGGATGAGCTTTCTTCTACCTGTACGCTCTCTCCTTCCCTCGTGACTGGCTTGCTGGCTTCTCAGGCGGCCTGTGGATGCTGGTTTTTTGTCTCCTGTGCTGTAAGCAGGTGAGCCCCGCTCCCCCTTCCGCGGCCGCTCCCACCGTGTCTGCAGCCCTCCTCCCTCGTGTTTCATTTTCTGCCGGTCTCCTCCTGTTTATGGTGTGTGCCGCTCACACTGTGAGTGGGTCTCTCTACAAGGTTCTTCATGGAAATGAGCAGCACGGAGATGGGCCATCTCCAGACGTCCTTGTGGCCCTGGCTGCCTGGCCCTGACCGACAGGTGCCCCTCAGCCCCCGTGAGAGGAACGACAGACCATGACCACAAGGATTCCATCCCAGGAGCGCAGGGTTGACCTAACACTTAAAAAACAATGAATGAAATCCTCATAGTAACAGAATAAATTTTAAAAGGAGAAAACCAGATCCGTAAATTATATAAATTACAAAAAGCATTTGATAAAATTCAACACATATTCATTATAAAAACTCTAGGAAAACCAGAACAAAGAAGAGAACTTGTTCGGCTTAAGTCCCAGGACACAAGGCAACACACAAAATCAGGCGTATTTCTGCATACTTGTAGCCAACAACCACAAAGTGAAATTTAAACGATAATAATTTGTAGAATAGTATTAAAAAACACGAAATTATTAATGATATATTGAATAAAATACACACAAGACCTGCACACTAACCTTATAAGGAACTGCCGGAGAAAATGGAAGAACATTTACATCAGAGAAACCCTGACCATCTTCACAGGTTGGAAAACTCAAGATTGTTAAGAGGTCAATTCTCCTTCAGTTGGTCTACAGAGTCAATGCAATCTCAAGTAAAATTAAAGCAGAATATGAAAATAGCAGAAATTGACAAGCTATTCTAAAATTGATATTAAAATACAAAGCACCAGAAGCATCCAAAAGAATTTCACAAAAAGATGAACAAAGCTGTAGGCATCCACAACCGATGTCAGGACTTACTCTAAAACTTCAGTGATTAAGACAACGCGGTGCTGTCAAAAAGACAGACATAGAAACCAATGAAACAGAATTACCCAAAGTGCAGCCACACATACATGATCAAGTAATTTTTGGTTACCTTGGTGCCAAGGTACTCACAACAGGGAAAGGGTAATCCTTTCAACAAATAGTGGGGAATAACTGGATAATCATGCTAAAAACAAAAAAACTAGCCTGGACTCCTGCCCCGTGCTGCATTCCCAGGGGCTCAGGCGTGACACACGGCAGGCAACCAGCAAGACCCAGGCGCCCCCCAGCCTCCGGTGCCCAGGCAAGTCTGCGGAAGAAGGGGCGCCGTCCAGCCGAGCTGCACAGGGAGGCAGGGGTCAGGAGGCTAAGTGAGGGGCAGCATTGCACACGAAGCATGGCCAGGGCAGGCAATCAGCGGTCAAAGGAGGGCCTGGAGGCTCAGGCCCAGGAGCTCTGGAGGAGCAGAGCGGGGAGGAGACACGTTTGGGCAGGAGGGCCAGGGCTGGTGAAGGTGAGGGGCGCCCACGGCCACCAGCTACGTCTCTTCAGGGGACAGAGCGCCACGGGCAGGCCACAGACATGTGCTCCCCCAACATGGGAAGGAAGAGAAGGAAAGAGGCTGGAACAAGGAGGCGGAGCCAGCAAAGGAGAATGACGCATGACCCACACCAGGGAAGGCAAAAGCCCAGGAGAGGAAGGTGCACAGGCCAGAAGCTTCTAGGAGGGAGTATCTCAACAATAAAAAGACCAAAGAACACAATTCAAAAATGGGAAGAGGATCTGAACAGACACACCTTCAAAGACATACAAATGGTCAACACGCCTGTGAAAAGATGCTCACTCAACGTCGTTATCAGGAAATACAAATCAGCGTCCTAGTGAGACAGCGCCTCGTCCCCACCAGACGGCTATAGTCACAGACGGCGGACGAGTGTCGGCGAGGGTGTGGGGGGGTCGGAAGCCTCACGCACTGCTGGTGAAGCGACAGCCACCGTGGAAGAGTCCGGCAGCGTCCCAGCGCTAAACACGGCCAAGCCCAGCAATGCCACGCCTCGGTGCCCCCTCGAGAGAACAGAAAACGCACGTCCACACGTGCCCACAGCAGCCTTCCTCGTGACGACCCGGAAGAAACAATCCCCAGCCCGACAGCTGATGAGCGGCACATCAGCGAGCTCAGGCTGCTATAACAAGTACCACGACCGGACGCCTTAGAGACAGCAGACGAGCCCCTCACAGGCTGGAGTCTGGAAGTCCAGGATCGGGATGCTGGCGGCTTCCGTGTCCGACGAGGACCACCTTCCAGTTCAGAGATGGCACCTCCTTGTGGCGTCCTCAAAGGGTGGAAGGGGCCAAGGGGCTCTCTGGGGTCCTTTTACACAGGCGCTCGTCCCATTTGTGAGGGCGGCCCCCACAGGACCTACTCCCCTTCCTGAGGCCCCGCTCCTAGCCCCGTCCCCCTGGGGTTAGGTTTTGACCTACGGATTTGGAGGGACGTCCAACGGTGGAATACTACTCAGC